ATAAAAAAGTTGTCAAAAATAAACCCTAAGTCAAACCCACACACATCATATATATATATATATATATATATATATATATGCGGATTAGAATATACGCGGCGGTAGAGTTAGAAAATTTTCGTCTCTGCGTTGTACGAATATCTAGCACACACAAACATAAGATAAAAGAACATCAAGATTTTTACGTGGAAAACCCAAAAAGGGAAAAAATCACGGGGTCACGCTCAGTTGAAAAGTTCCACTAGTGTAGTTTGAGATACAAGAGGCTGATTCATCCAACAAGTTAGGATGATCATATTACAATGAGTTTCTTATGTATTGAAATTCAGTTACGAAGTTGAGCAGAGTTCCGGCGTCACTCGGGCTTCCGACGGGATTCTGGCGTCGTTCTGACTACGGGAAGAACTCCGGCGGTGGTCGTGGAGGAGCTATTCTCTCTCCTTCTCTTCTCTTCTTCTCTTCTTCTTGCTTTGGGTCCCCCCTCATGAGAAATGAGGACTCTATTTATAGATTTTCTGGAGTGGCATAGCTTGTAAATAGGTGCGAGATCAAGAGCAAATAGGGAGTGGTCGAATGGACGGTTGATATTGAATGCCTTGATCGTGCACCGTTCATCAAACATTTGAAAGTCTTAATGATGTCAGAATTTGGTGATCTTGGGGTCGTTGGATTCGTTTCGTCGAGCCGTTCGATTCAACTATAAGCTCGTTAAAATCGGAAACAGTTTGGTAACTCAAATTGTGGTATGAACTTTCCAACAGCGCTTCGGGTCCTTGATTTGGACTCATTTGGGTTATGATTGAGTCGAATTTGAATCATATAAATATAATAGCTTCGAATGCAAGAGCTTTTGATTAGCAGCAAAAGCTCCTTATAAATTAAGATGAGCTGCTTAGTTTTTAATGAAATTCTAATCCATAAGTAGATCAACTTTAAAAATTTTAATAAAATTCTAACCATTATATTAAATGTTTTAAAAGTTAATATTAATTTCTTATGGGATTTAACATCTCTCATATAATTACTCACATTTCAAATTGTCAACATTATTTCAATTTGTTTTAAATGGCAACGTAATAGCAAAATCAAGCAGTGACGACAATGGGGCTGCTCACCTCCTGCTTGCCTGATTCTGATACCCACTTAAGCCTACCTTCCAACACATCATCCTTGTTCAGTTTTCCCTTCCCGGTCAAGCTTAGCACCACCGTAAATTTCTGCTCCTCGCCAACGTTCGAAAACTCGAGCGTCTCCGGGCTTACAACCACCTCCACACCGCTCGGCTTTACTACGCTTGCTGTGTATTTTGCGCTCGCCTCCCCAACGTTCTTCACCGTCCGCTGCACGGTCTTTTCTTTGGCCCCTGCAAACCCCATCGACACCTGTATTGACGGATAGTTCACTTCCTCCGCTCCCATCTTCTTTCTTCCACAAGTCACATCCTGGTTCACAATGCGAGTAACCATCGCACTTTTGTACCCTTTCAAGCTACAGAGGTAAGGAATATAATCATCCGCGTTGATGAAATCATAAACAAGTCCCGGATCATTGGCTGCTTCTGGGTTTATGTGCCCTGCACCAATGGCGAAGATACTTGCACGATCACGCTCGCCAAACGAAGCATCGATTTTCGACGCATCATCTTTTATCGGATCACCATCACGGTCTAAGGAATAAGCTGTGGTCATAATCGCCGATTTGATTGCCGCGGGGGACCAATCGGGATGTAACTTTTTCAAAAGCGCTGCGACGCCAGAGACATGAGGTGCTGCCATGGAAGTACCTCTCTCCATGATGAAGTTCTTTGTGTTATCAGAGATTTCATGAGTCCCAGCCTTGAAGGGCCACGCGGAAAGGATGTTCACTCCAGGGGCAATGACATCGGGTTTTAGAATGCCACCATTGAGCAAGCTTGGCCCTCTCGAGGAAAGGTTGGCAACGGTCGGCGATGGCCGAGCTCCATAGTTTGTGCCCTTAAATGTTATTGTTCCTGTAATATTCGGGTCTGTCTCATAATCGTTCAAGATCTTAATAGCGTCGGTGTAGGAGACATGGATGGCGGGGATGCTATAGGGGTCGGCGTTCAGGGTGTACCCTTCCGATGGTTGGTTCATGACAATGATAGCAGCCCCACCGGCGGCCTTCACGATTTTGGCCTTCTCAATTTTATCAATGTGGCCGGTGCCGCACAGAACCATTTTCCCAACGACGTCGAAGCCAGCCATAGATCCATCCTGACATGCTAACGTCTTTTGAGTCTGGTTGACTCCAGGATATATGAGGTGGAGGTCCACCGCGGTTGAAGGGTCTGGTTGATAAGCTGACATGCCCTTAAACTCCATGCCATTGCTGAGCTTCAGCATTGCAGTGACATGGCGGTCGATGTTGGCGGCGCCGACATGGAGGATCCATGGAACGTCGTTGTCGAGGATGCTTTTCGCAGGGCCGCTATTGCCAGCAGAGTTAATGGTTAAAATTCCTTGTTTGAGCGCCGCAAAGGATCCGATGACTATACCGTTGAGGTTGTAAGCGTAATTTTTTACGCCTACGGAGATCTGGATTAAGTCAACACCATCAATAATGGCTTGTTCGAAGCCCTTGATGTTGTTGGCGTGTGAGCAGGAGCTCTTGCTGCAGACATTGTACACCGCGATGTGAGCCCGCGGGGCCATCCCGGAAGCGGTGCCACGAGCTTGGCCAAGGATCTCTGCATCTTGGACCTTCGTGCCAGCAGCGATGGCTGCGACATGGGTGCCATGCCCTCCTTCATCGATGGGGGTTCCAGCTTTCCCGGTAAAAGATTGGGCGCCGATGAGCTTGTTAGTGCAGGAGAAGCCGGCGGGGAGGTCGCAACTGCCTCGCCACTTGAGGGGAGGAGGAGGCAGGCCGGGGTCGGCAAAGGAGGCGTGGTCGGGAGTGATGCCGCTATCGAGCACGCCGATGATAATGCCTTCGCCTTGGCTAGATTTTTGCCAGAGGCTGTTGTATTGGTTGAGGCCGAGGAGGGTGGGGGTGTGAGTGGTGCGAAGGTGGACGGGTTTGTCAACGTGGGCGAACAGGAAGCCGGGGATGGACTCCATGCGCCTGACTTCGTCGGTGGTGAGGCGGGCGGCGAAGCCAGACATAGCGACGGAGTAGGTGTGGACCATGCGGGGTTCGCCAGAGTCGAGGGTGGCGTTGGGGAGGAAGGAAAGGTACCATCTTTCACGATCGTCGTGGGTGAGTAGCTCGGTGGGGCCGTCCGGGTGCAGGACGTGAACGATGTATACTTTGGTTTGGTTTGTGGAGGTTATGGGGAGCAGGGGAAGGGAGAGGGTCGTATGTGCGTGGTGTAGGAAGAAAAAGAGGAGGAGGAAAATGAGAAAAATAATATTGGTGGTGATGTTAGCCATTGCTGCGGCGGACCGGAGCTTGGTGAGGATTAGAACAAAAAGGGTGTAGATTAAATAAATTGAGGAAGGAGTACTGATTTGAAGCTGGTGTGTAAGAATCCTAGGCCATCAAGTAAGCTACAGTGAAGCTTCGCGCGAAGAGGGCACCGCGATGCTCCAAGAAGATCCAATGAGCAGAGGCGAATTATAAAACTCGATTGTACAAAAATTTAAAATCAAATCTGTAGAATCAAAGAAGGAAGATTAAGAGATCTTCTTGCAAGATCTTGAGAGGGAGTGAGGAGGGAGAGGAGAGGGGGACCGTGAGCCACAAATGCATAATTCTTTTATTCCATGGCTACCTATTACAAGCCTAAAAACCCTTATTTAAAGACTCCTAAGAGCTATACAAATAGCTGATTTACAAAACCCAAAAAAAAAAACAATCTTCAACAAAGTGGGATGGGGTTGCTGAATGCCTTACAATGCAACAAGAAAATTTATACGGTGAACACAAGGGCGGAACCGGCTTTAACTTTGAGGGGGGCAAAAATATAACATAAAAATAATTAAATATTAAAAAAATAATATTATATGTCTATATGTTACTAAAATTTTAAAAAAAAATTAAACAATAAAAATAAAGAAAATAAAATTGTAATTAAACTATCATGAAAAGCATGAATGAGAATATTAGAACTACATGTGAAGAAATATATAGATATTTTAGGACAAGTTAGAACAAAAAAGTTTTTTAGGGGGGGGCAAAAAAAAATTTTAGGAGGGGCAAAAATTTTTTTTTACTCTCTTATAATTTTTTTTTTTTACTCTTTAAAAAAAAAATTTTTTTTTGAGGGGTTCCGCCACTGCCCATCATCAGGAAGATAAACATCAATCCAAGGAAACATATGTATTTCCTAAAAAGGCATCACTCTGAGGGCCCATTGGCATGGTTAGTCAATATCCAATAGGGTTCTACCGACTTACACGCAATCCTACAATGTATGTGTTTTTACTAATAAGCTCCCGTACGCATTATACAAGTCAACATAGCACTAACAAATAATATAACCAAAATGATTTACATCATCAATGTCATTTATTGCAATATTAAAAAAATTAATTTGTACAAATTTGATTCTTTATTGCATGAATTATTTTTAATGATAAGAACTCATGCATTAATAAATTTAGGCAGAATTATTTCTACCACATGATACTTTTATTATGAGTAATAAATAAAATTTCTAACATATTGAAAATAGGAATGACAACCTAATATATAAGAACTTTATACAAAGTAATTAATAAGAGTATCACCCCTAGCAAAGAACAATACATTTATACCAAAATAAATAACAGTTACTCAAATCTATGCAAAAGACCCTAATGTTCAAACCAACTAGGTGCTCAATCGGAAGAGCGTTGAGGGTACAAACCGGTTGTTGGTGCTGATGTTAGTATGGTTAGTCAATATGTTATTGGTGAACCTCAAAGAGCGTCTTTTGAATGAGCTAATGAAGAAGCATTCTGAGTTTATCAACTATCCCATTTTTATCGAGACAACGAATACAACTAAGAATGAGATTTTTTATGATGAGGATTAGAAAGAAAAGAAGAAGCAGAAGATCCTTAAGTTCATCAGTGAGTTTCATCATATCGACTTCAGCTTACGTTGAAGTCTCTCCTATATGAGGAGAATAACATTGGGTGGATCTATTTGAACTGATTCAGCGAACCAAACCCACCTCCTCCATCTCTATTGTTTTGCAGGTGTTTATGTGCCCTTGTAAGTAGCCAAGTTGGCTATACAACCAACTAGCACTTGTAATAAAGGGAGATGAGAGAGATAATAAATTTTTTTATATTCTATTTTGTGGGGTAGCTCGTTCTTAGTTATTGTTTGAGCTGCCGATTCTTATATCTCTCATCTGAAGACTTTGAGATAGCTTTTGACCATTATTTTTTTACTGTTTTTAAGAAATTTTTTTATTAAAAAGTATCTTTAGTAAGTAGTAATACAATTATCCCATTAAGGTTCGTTTGGGACGACTTTCTTATTGCTTCTCAAAATAATTTTTTAGTACAAACAATTTTTTTTTTTATTAGAAAGCTGAAGCAATAAAAAAAGCTCTCATGTTTTTAAAAGCTCGAAAGCAAAGCTCTTTGGTTTGGCATAATGTATTAAGACGGCCCCCATATTCTAATTTTGAATCATTATGGATTCATTTATTAACTTGTCAAATAAGGGTGCATATTATTCGGATAAGATCAAAAATCAAATTGAATAAACATTAATTTAATTAAATTGGTTTAGTTATTAAAATATTAATTCAATTATTTAAAATATTAATTCAATTATTTATTTTAGTTTTGATTTTTTTTATTTTAATTCATTATTCAATATTTTAATCTTAAAAATCTATCAAACCAAAAATTAAATTTGCGATTTTTTTCTCAAATATTAAATTAATGAATCCTATAAATTATAAATAAATAAGTTACAGAAAGATAAAACGTAAATATTTATTATTCGACTGGCCAAATCTGCAAATTTACATAAATATAATTTGATATTCCTTTTCTTAATATACATTATTTAATTAAAATAATTAAATTCATTTCTTAAACATAATTATATTTCAATTCATCCAAAATCTAATTGATCAGAACAATTAAAGTTTAATTTAAAAAATAATTTTACCGGTTTAATTTTTTTAAAAATTTCAATCAAAATTAATTGATATTTAATTAATTCGTAAATCAAATTCTTCAGAGCTGGATTTGCACAATAGATTTTAGGTTAGAAACCACAAACTTGAGGGTAGATGAAAGAACCAGAGAATCTTGCGGAGCGGATTGAGCGGATTGAGCTTGTTCCTCCGTTTGAGACGAGGATACAGTCGCCATCTATTCCGTTCTTGAACGCCTGCTCTGATACCATGTAGAAACCAAATGGTTTCTTGAAATAAGCTTTTGGACAACAACGAAGACAGTGAAAGCTATTGAAAAAGAGATAAAGAAAGTATATGCATTTTCTGTCAATAACCGGATACAGGACAGTCTATAAATAGACTTTACAGATGAAGTACAGGGAGAGATTAATTACAATATTACCACAGACTTTATTTATTTAATAATCTGAGATTTATCTGTTAATAGCCCCCCACAAACTGACGGGTTTTCGATGACCGTTAGTTTGAGTCGTAGAGTTTTAAATCTCAGACTTGGTAAAGATTTAGTAAAGATATCAGCGATCTGATCAGTGGTACTAATAGGAGATATACAGATGTTTTTGTTCTGAATATGATCTCGTATGAATCGTTGATCAATCTCGATGTGCTTCGTACGAGCATGGAAAACTGGATTATTTGCTAAGGCAATAGCCGACATGTTGTCACAGTAGATGTTCGTTGGTTGAGATTGAGGGACGCCGAGTTCGGTGAGCAATTTCCGAATCCAAATAACATTTGCTGTGAGAGCTGCTAAAGCCCGATACTCGGACTCGGTAGAAGATCGGGCTACAGTTTGTTGCTTTTTAACGGTCCATGAAACTAGTGTATCTCCAAGGAATGAACAAAAACCTGATGTAGATTTTCTTGATTCAGGATCACCGGCCCAATCCGCATCTGAAAAAGAATTAAGAGTAAAATTAGATTTAGAGATTGGTAAACCAAAATGTAAAGTACCTTTGATATAACGCAGAAGACGTTTGAGGAGAAAAGCATCATGTAGAGACGGGTTATGCATATGTTGAGATAGTAAATTAACACTGTAAGCTATATCTGGGCGCGTAAGGGTAAGATATTGCAAAGAACCGACAAGCCGACGATACATCATGGGATTCGAGAGAAGGCTGTCCTGCGGTGGATCTGCAGGAGCTTTTGTGCAAGTCGGGTTATGTATGGGATTGCATCTGGTTAGTTGTGCTGTGTCCAACAATGTCATAGCATATTGGGCTTGTGAAAGAAACAAGCTATCCGAATTTCTGTCAATTTTGATACCCAGAAAATTATGGACATGGCCAAGATTCTTCATAGCAAACCTGTTACTTAGCTGATCAAGAATTTGGTTAATATAAGAGACATTATTACCGGTAAACAAAATATCGTCTACGTAAATTAATAAGAAAAGCTGAATATTATTTTTATTAAACAAGAAGAGTGAGGGATCAGATACACTATTGGTAAACCCGAGTGATAGAAGATACGCCGTGAACGTATTATACCACTGCCTTGGGGCTTGTTTAAGACCATACAAAGCTTTGTGCAATCGGCATACATAATTTGGATGATTAGGATCTTCAAACCCTTTTGGTTGATGCATGAAAACTGTCTCCGAAAGGGTACCATGAAGAAAAGCGTTTGCAACATCAAGCTGATGGATCTGCCAATCACGAGAGAAAGCAATTGTAAGTAAAATACGTATTGTTGGTAATTTAGCTACAGGACTAAATGTCTCTGTATAATTTAAACCAAATTCTTGATTATTTCCAAGCGCTACCAAACGCACTTTATATTTGGCAATAGAACCATCACTATGTAATTTAAGACGATAGGTCCACTTGCAGCCCAATACTTGGGATGTTGGCTGTGGAACTAAACTCCAAGTACCCTGTTGATGTAAAGCAAGAATTTCATCAGCCATGGCCTTGCGCCATTCCGGATATTTGACGGCATCACTATAAGCAGTGGGGGTAAAGTGATTTTTGACGGGTTCAAGTTGATGAAGCAGGTTTAAACGATTAACAGGTTTCAGCGATCCCGTCTGACGCCTAGTTATCATGTGATGTGAAATTGGAGCAGCTGGCGAGCACGGTTGAGACGGCAAAGCTGCAGAAATGCAGTTTTCTGTAGGAACCGGAACAGATTCACGTTGAATGGTTTGTATATCTGTTGGCAAGTCTTTATCCAGGTGAGATTGAGATGTATGTTGCTGAGATCGTGAAACTGATTCAGGAATCAGCATAAATGAAGGAGCCGGAGGATCTATATGATTATTAAGCTTGTTATCCTGCTGTATAGAGAAAGGAAACATTTGCTCATCAAAGGTTAAATGTCGTGAAACAAAAACTTTATTATTGGAAACATCTAAACATTTATATCCCTTATGCGTATCAGAATAACCAATAAATACACATTGTTTGGATTTGGGTTGCAGCTTGTGACGCGTATGCGAAGGTAACAACGGATAGCAAGCACACCCAAAAGTACGAAGATGAGTATAATTCGGTTTCGTATTATGCAACAATTCAAACGGAGACAAGTTCTTGGTGTTGCGAGAAGGCAAACGATTTATAAGGTAAACTGCCGTGAGAACAGCATCGGGCCAATATGTATAAGGTATATGTGCAGTATGAAGAAGAGATCGTGTGGTTTCAATTATGTGACGGTGCTTCCTTTCCGCAACTCCGTTTTGTTCCGGAGTATAGGGGCACGATATTTGATGCATTATACCGTTAGTTTTTAAAAATTCAGTAAACGTATGGCTGAGATATTCACCTCCACCATCAGTACGAATGCATTTTATAGATCTAGACAAATATTTCTCAATGTACTGTTTGAAAGTAAAGAAAATTTGAGCAATATCAGATTTGCGTTTTAACGGAAATAACCACGTAAATCTAGTGCAATCATCAACAAAGATAGCATAATACTGAAAACCTTGAACAGATACAGACGGTGCAGGTCCCCAAATATCCGAATGCAAAAGTTCTAAAGCAAATTTCTTACGGTTAACAGAAGTATCAAAAGACATTTTATGAGCTTTGGAAACATTGCATTGCATACACGAATTATTAAATTCTATGTGTAATTGCGGATTGGTAGAAGCAAGAAACTGTAAAGTATTATTATTCGGATGCCCGAAGCGGTTATGCCAGGGAATCGTAGGAGCTCGGACAGTGGAGCAAGCAAGATAAGTAGACGATGGCTTTGTAGTCTGAACTTGATATAAGCCATTACGGCAAGGCCCTTGAAGAAGAACTTCTTGAGTCTTCAAATCCTTCAAATAGAAACCATTAGGATCGAATACAATAGAAATATTGTTGTCCTTAGTGAGTTGAGAAATAGAAAGTAAATTATATTGAAGCTTTGGAGTATGAAATAGCTGGGTTAGTAAAAGCTTTCGGTGTGGTGTAGATAGCAAACCTGTACCGGAATGATCTATACCTACAGAGCTTCCATCACCAATAGTGACAGTGTCTGAACCACGATACGGAGCAGAAACAGAGAGATTTTCAAGTGCATTTGTAAGATGCGAAGAAGCCCCTGAATCAAGAAACCATTCTGTCGTGTTTCTTGAATTTTCGGCAACAAGAGCAGTATTGCTATTTGTAACTGACGAAGGTTTGTAATTCTGATTGAGTCTATGCCAGCAGGAAAAAGCACTGTGACCCTTCTTTAAACAGATTTGGCAAGTCGTAGAGGCGTTTGGATTTGAATTACGCGAACTGTTCTGTTGATTTGCACCTTTGCCGCGAAGTCGACGACCACGACCTCGTACAGAAGAATACAGAGCCGTGCTTGGATCAGTTGTAGTTTGCTGGCGAGACACCTCAGAAGCAACATGGATTTCTTCACTAAGAAGAAGAGCATATAAGTTGTCGAGGCTAAGAGGCGTTTGCATAGTGCGTATAGCCGTTTTAAACGACTGATACGAGGAAGGTAATCCGTTAAGTATGTACAAGATTATGTCCTCAGTGTCCACAGTAGCTCCCGCAGACGCAATATTGTCAACTAATGATTTGATATCAGCAAGATATTGAGTCATGGAAGCATTCTTGAGAGAAATATGGTGTAATTCATTCTTTAGTTGAATTACTTTAGAACGATTTGTGGATTGGAATCTTGTTTCAAGAGTATCCCAGATAGATGCCGTGGAATCCAAATGAATAATATACGGCAAGATGGGAGCGGAAATAGTAGAGCAAATTGCAGCGGATAGGTTTTGGTCGGACAATAACCATTGAAGAAACAGAGGATTAGATGAAGAGGATGAGGATCCATCAGATTGTGAAAGAAAACGCGCTGGTTTGGGACTTTTCGAATCAAGAAAAGATTCAAATCCGTTAGCACGAAAAACTTTGACGATTTGAGATCGCCAAACAGCATAATTTTCGGCTGAGAGCTGGATTTGCACAATAGATTTTAGGTTAGAAACCACAAACTTGAGGGTAGATGAAAGAACCAGAGAATCTTGCGGAGCGGATTGAGCGGATTGAGCTTGTTCCTCCGTTTGAGATGAGGATACAGTCGCCATCTATTCCGTTCTTGAACGCCTGCTCTGATACCATGTAGAAACCAAATGGTTTCTTGAAATAAGCTTTTGGACAACAACGAAGACAGTGAAAGCTATTGAAAAAGAGATAAAGAAAGTATATGCATTTTCTGTCAATAACCGGATACAGGACAGTCTATAAATAGACTTTACAGATGAAGTACAGGGAGAGATTAATTACAATATTACCACAGACTTTATTTATTTAATAATCTGAGATTTATCTGTTAATATACATAGCCCCCTACCAATAAATGAATTTATAGCAATTAATCAATAAAAGGCTAGAAATATATTGATTAATAAGATACTATTAGCAGATAAAACCTGTACCCTTAGAGTCTTTAATTGTATTTACAGCTTTACCTTTATTTTAGTCTATTTATTGTTCCCTGTACGCTTTAGCAGTAAGATAGAATAATAATATTAGTTTTGGTTTCTGTCACTGGCTTCTCCGGTCTCCTTTTCCAAACCATTCCCTTCTTCTACAAAGCTTTTATGATATCAAGAGCCATTAGGGAAGAACAAGATCCCATGAAATCTTTACCTCCTTCCTCCTCCTCCTCCTACTCCATCCAAACCAACACCATCAGCCCGTCCACCATAATCCCGCCGAACCTCAGTTTCTTGTTTCTAACATCAAGAATCTTGCCCCACACCATTTCAGCATCTGGTTCCAAGATTGAACCTGAAGACGTTATGCTTCACATTCTCAATGGCCTACCTTCAACTTACAACTCCTTCAAATCTACCATCCGTAACTCTCTAATTCTCATTGATCTTGATACATTCTACGCCCTTCTGTGCAACGAAGAGATTCATCTTCATCAAGAAAGTCTGCAAGAACAGCCCAGTAATGCCTCCCCTGCGACTATCTATGCCGCTCCTTCCAACTCATCTCGCACTCGCAACGGCAACAACAGACGCTACACCAAACACAAGACTTCATTTCCCACTCAAACTGTTCCGGTTCCTCAGCTCAACTCCTCTGTTCCGCAGCAACAGTGGCCAACCTGCCAGATCTGTGGCAAACTAGGGCATATCACACTCAATTGTTGGCATCGCAACAATCCCAAGTATGCTCCTACAGACACACACTAGCCTCGGGCTCTTTTCGCGAATCCAGCGGCACCGGTCAGTCAAGATTGGATTCTTGACTCCGGTGCCTCCACCCACTTGACGCCGGATGCTAATCATCTCTACTATCCCTCCCCCAGCCAAGGTTCGGACACGGTTTCGACAGCCAATGGTAACGCTAGCTCTTCCCATCTCCAACTCCGGTCAAGGCCTTCTTCCCTTACCGGACACGGCTTGTAAGTTGAAACTTAACAATCTTCTACATGTTCCATCTCTTACGCATAACTTGTTATCTGTTTCCAAGCTTACCTCAGATAATTTTGTTTCTATTTCTTTCGATGCTAATGGTTTTGTTATCAAGCACTCACGGGACCATCATCCACTGCTTCATGGACAACTTCATAATGGGCTCTACCATATTCGCACAGCTCCTGTTCCTCCGCATGCAGCTCTTACGGCCACCACATCTGCCTCTCGGCACTGGCACACTCGCCTTGTTCATCCGAATAAGGATACCCACAATGTTCTTTCTAGGCTATTTCCTGAAATTCAATCTGTACCTAATTCTTTCTTTTGTGATTCTTGTAACCGGGCCAAGAGCCACAAATTAGTTTTTAATAATAGCAATTCCCTTACCACTGCACCTTTTGAACTTATTCACACTGATACTTGGGGTCCGGCTCCGCATTCTTCTTTGGACGGTCATCGCTATTACATTATATTCATCGACGACTTCACTCGTTTTTCTTGGCTTTATCTTCTTTATGCCAAAAGTGATGTCTTCACTGTGCTTAAAAATTTTTGTAACATGGTTAAGACTCAATATAACAAAATTCCTAAAATTCTTCGTTCCGACGGTGGCGGCGAATACACTAGCCATGCGTTTCGTTCATACCTCCACGAAAATGGGAATTTACATCATCTTTCTTGTCCCCATACACCGGAGCAGAATGGTCTTGCTGAACGAAAACATCGTCACCTTCTTGACCTTACCCGAGCCCTTATGCATGACTCTGGATTACTGCCCAAATTCTGGTCCTTTGCTATCGCTACGGCTAACCACTTAATCAACCGATTGCCTTCAAAAACCATTTCGAATCAAATCCCTTTTCAGCTCCTTCACGGGATCCCACCTTCGTATACTCATCTTCGCACTTTCGGTTGTTTGTGCTATTCTTGGCTGAAGCCGTACACTAAGGACAAATTCACACCTCGATCCTCTCCCTGTGTATTCATTGGATATTCCTCACAGCACAAAGGTTATCTCTGTCAAAACTACACTACCGGTCGCACTTATACCTATCGGCACGTTGTTTTTTACGAAGAATTATTTCTACTTAAACACAACTCAAACTCGCTTTCTACTCCCGATCCAGTAATCACCACTCCCACTCCTCCTCTCCTTCTTATCCCCACGTCTACAATTTCTCCTCCGATCACGGAAATCACCGTGCCTCAGCCACTGATCTGACAGCCCCAAACACTTTTAACCCCCGCTGGGCTCTCTACCGAGAGCTGTTACCTCCTTGGACTCACCTCAGCCCATATCCACCCAATCGCTTCTAACTCCACTTCCAACCCGTGTTGCCCATCCGATGCAAACACGACTTAAATCGGGGATCCTTAAACCAAAACCTGTTTTTAATCTTCTTGCCCAGATCACTTCTCCGACCACACCCACTTCCTACATTCAAGCCCTCAAGACAGCACATTGGCGCAATGCAACAGAAATTCGACGCCCTTCAACGGCAATCCACCTGGACTCTCGTTTCCCCTCCACCTGATAAGCCGGTACTAGGCTGTAAATGGGCGTACAAAATCAAGCTTCTCCCCAGCGGCCAAGTCGAGCGTTACAAAGCAAGACTCGTGGCTCTCGGCTATAATCAACAGTTTGGGATAAACTATACCGAGACTTTTAGCCTGGTTGCTAAGATGCCCACTATCCGCCTTCTACTCACTCTCTCGCTCAACCAGCAATGGCTCATGTATCAACTGGACATCTTCAACGCCTTCCTTCATGGCGACCTACCGGATGACATCTACATGTGACAACCACCAAGCTTCGCCGGCCCTGCTCATGCACACGCGGTGTGCAAACTCCACAAATCCCTCTACGGGCTCAAACAAGCACCGCGGCAATGGTTTCAAACGCTCACAAGCTTTCTCCAACATCAAGGCTTTGGGTTTAGTCATTCTGATCCCTCACTTCTTATTTTTCACCGCAATCATATTCACATGTATTTACTTATCTATGTTGATGATTTCCTCGTGACAGGCAATGATGAGGCAGCCATCCGCCAACTCCTTCAACAATTGCAATCACAATTTGCACTCAAGCAGCTGGGCAACATCTCCCTCTTTCTTGGAATCCACGTGACTCGTTCCAACTCTGGCTATTTTTTATCCCAAGAACACTATGCTACTAAACTTCTCAACAATGTAGGTTACAAAGATTGCAAAGTGGCACCAACGCCTATCACGCCTAACACGAAACAGCCGGAACACAACAGCCCGCCCTTCTCTGATCTGTCCCTCTACCATCGGCTGGCTGGTTCGCGTTAGTACTTGTCTATAACCCGACCAGACATCGCCTTTGCAACCAACCAGGTTTGTCAGCACATGCAATCTCCCACCAAACAAGACTTCAAGGCTCTAAAACGATTACTCCGCTATATCAAAGGAACTCTTTCCTACGGTCTACCGATCACACCTGGCTCGTTCGACCTTCGCTCCTATTCGGATGCCAACTGGGCGTCTGATTCTACATATCGGAAATCAATCTCAGGCTATTTCACCTTTCTTGGTCCAAATCTCATCTCATGGACTGTGAAAAAGCAGGCGACAGTGGCCAAATCCTCCACCGAAGCGGAGTACTGGTCCCTTTCCGCTGCTGCTTCCGATGTCGTCTGGCTTCATCGACTTGCTTCCGAACTCCAGTTACCACAGCCTCAACCGACCACCATTCATTACGACAACACCTCGGTCATGGCCATCGCCAAAAACCCGGTGTTTCATGCACTCACAAAGCATGTTGACATCGACTACCATTTCATTGTCAGCAAATTGGCGCCGGCAACATTCAGCTTAAGTTCATCTCTTCCAAAGATCAAGTTGTTGATATTTTAACCAAGCCATTCTCGATCACTCGGTTTCTAAGGAGCAAATTAACTATTTGGACTCTCGAATGATTAATTTGAGGGGGACTATTAGCAGATAAAACATGTACCCTTAGAGTCTTTAATTGTATTTACAGCTTTACCTTTATTTTAGTCTATTTAATGTTCCCTGTATGCTTTAGCAGTAAGATAGAATAATAATATTAGTTTTGGTTTCTGGCACCTGCTTCTCCGGTCTCCTTTCCCAAACCATTCCCTTCTTCTTCTACAAAGCTTTCAGATACAACTCAATATTTTATTTATGCAAGACTAAGTCAAACCCAAACAAAGTCTAAGTCAAACTCACACACATCTCATATATATATTATTTTTTTTTGGTTTTTCCTCTGTGTAATTGGTGTTCCATGTTATTGGCTTTTCTTGCATTTTGTATTTTTTTTATTACCTATTAGTGTTCGATGTTGATGTCTTGTTTTTTTCAATATTACTAATCCAAGCTTCCTTACTTTATAATTTACCTTAAAATAATTCAATTTTAATCGGCTTCAGAATCGTTTTGTTTTTTGTTCTGATTTTGGGATTAATCATCTGAGAAATTAAATTATATATATAGTTTTAGATTTTCTTAGATTTATTTATCTATAAGCGTTTTAATTATTACCAAGCATATGCTCGATGGTTGCCATCATGATGGAAAATTTGGGTGAATTTGTGTAAATTTAAATTCAAGTTTTTTTTAATATTGTCGTTTGGATGATGTGTTGTGATTATTTGAATCTAACTTTTGGTTTCTGACTGCTATGTCTCTTCAATCTACTTGATTTCAAGTTACAAATCATTAGAGTTCAATACAGTAAAAGTTGCTTCATGATTTTAGTTGTTTTTTTCAATCATATATATCCATTTAAATATCTGTGTGGTTGTGCTTACAATGTTGTTTGGCTGTGTTGTTTTATCTACACTTTTTTGAAAATTCTTAACAAGTTAAGTGGTCAATCAAACCATATACATATAGAGAGAAATTTGTTTAGAAAAACTACTACTCATAGGTTCTTCATTTATTCCTATTTGTCATGAATCTGTCATTTCTAACAGTTCCTTCATTGTTCCATATGGACCTTTAGTTAAAAAATGAAATACTGTTAAATATTTAAATAAAAACATAATTATTTTCCATTTTTGATCATCGGGAAGGACAACGAATTCATCAGCATATTAAGTCATTTCTTACTTGCTCTCATGCATGTGTGCAAATGTCTTACCTTCTCCAATACTTTCTACTAAAATATTCAAAAATATTTAATCTTTAAAATTTTTGCTGTAATTAAGAATAAACGTTCTTAAAAGCATGATTTCTCTTTACCTAATGAGATTGTTATGCTCATTTTATAATTATGTATACAAATATATGAAAATATTTGTTAGTTTGATGAAACATGAAATAAATAGAATTAAATGCGATAAGACATGGTGAAGGTTATCACCGTGAGACATGCCAACGACCATCAAAGACAATTTGAGAAATAAAACCCATGAGCCCTATAGATTGAGAACATAATCTGCTCCGTTATCTGAAATTTTTAATAAGATTAAAATGAAGACCTCGTACCGTCGACTTTAAGTCCGGTCGAGATGGTTTCGAACGAAGACCTCATACCGTCGATTTTAAATCCGGTTGGGAAGAATTTAAATTGAAGGGCTCGTGTCGTCGATCTTAGGTCCGACCCTGGTTGGTTCCAAATTGAAGACCTCACGCAGTTGAACTTAGTTCCTGGTGAGATGGTTTTAAATCGAAGACCTTACGCCGTCGACCTTAGGTCCGGGTAGGAAGAATTATGGCAGTGCCTTCCCGATTTCTCACAGGCTGCCGAATTTTCGATAAAATAATTTAACTATTTTTAAACAATTTGGAACAATTAAAGTTAAATAGCAAGAAAAAATTAACTGTTATAAGAATATAAATTATTAAAATCTAAATGCAATATAAAAAATAACCATTATTTATCTTATCTTTGTACTACCCAACCCTTATGCTGTTAGACATCTATGTTTGCCACGTTTTTGATTGATCTCCTATAGTTGCTTTGTTGATACTGAAATCCTACAGCATCAACAGAGTCGATTCCACCATTGATTGGCGTAAGACCTTCACTAAGTTCAGCCAAGTTCTTGGCAATAGCGTATCAAAAGTAGGCGGTTGTGTGAGAATTATAATTCATTATTTTTTTTACTAGAGATAAAAATTTTTATTCTCTATTTAACTCATCTCTGTTCCAACTGCTAACTTATCAAAATCATAAACACCCACATGCCCATTCTAGATTATGTTCTTAGCACTCTCAAGACTGTCACTGAATGTGTCAATGGGATCTATCCCAATGTCGATTCCCATCCAACCATCAGTGATAGCATATGCTGGGACAAACTCAAAAGTAAATGGTTAGATTTGCAATACACTTGAAGGCTTCAAAGATTTATTTAATTTATATTGTTGTTTAGGATTTCCTTTGAGGAAGTTGGAACTATCATTCTGCTCACTGACGCCTCCTCTCCCCACGATTCCTTATCACAAAAAAAGAAATTTTTTTCTTCCATTTTAATACATAATATATTTCCTTCTTGGAAATTTTATAGGTTTTGCAATATAGTAATATCTTTTTCATTCTTTATGACATCTATTAAAATAAAAATTTTGCCCTCTTTAAACTAAATTTTCTACCAACATAACAAAATTTTATTTACCAAATAATTTTTCTCATTCTTATATTCTATAGACAAACAAGTTTAATTTTATGTGGATTTTTTTCCTACTTTTCATCTTTTATTCTGATATTTCCTGTTCTCATTTAACTGAAGGAAAAGACACAAGGAAAAGTAGATTAGTTGTTCACCATTGTATTGCTCTCACTGAACGCATCTTCTCATCCTTCCTTATTTCGCAGAACGGATCCACCCATAGCTTAGGGTGGGCATTTGCCCACCCTCAAAAAAATTTTTTTTAATATTTAGAGGGGAGATTTTGAAATATTTTGGGTATTTTGGGCATTTTGCCCCTCCTCAAAAATCTTTTTTGCCTTACTTTTACCAATCCTAAGAATTTTTGCCCATCCCTCACAAAAAAAAATTTTTTTTTTGTCCACCCTAAAAAAAGAAGCTGGATCCGCCCCTGCTTATTTCGCAGAAAGGATCAACCCATCAGCTCACTCGAACACTCCATCGCATTTCATGTAAGTTTGCAAATTCATTAGCGTTTATCCAAAATATTACTTACCTTCTTTTAGCCATTTCTTACTTGCTCTTATGCATGTGTGCAACTGTCTTACCTTCTCCAATACTTTCTCCTAAAATCTTCAAAAATATTTATTTTTTAAAACTTTTGCTGTAAGAAAAAACGTTCTTAAAAGCATGATTTCTCTTTACGTAATGAGGTTGTTATGCTCATTTTATAATTCTGTATGCAAAGATATGAAAATATTTGTTAGTTTGATGAAACATGAAATAAATATAATTAAATGCGATAAGACATGGTGACGGTTATCACCGTGAGACATGCCAACGACCATCAAAGATAATTTGATGAATTAAAACCCATGAGACCTATAGATTGAGAACATAATCTGCTCCGTTATCTGAAATTTTTTATAAGATTAAAATGAAGACCTCGTACCGTCGACTTTAAGTCCGGTCGAGATGGTTTCGAACAAAGACCTCATACTGTCGATTTTAAATCCGGTTGGGAAGAATTTAAATTGAAGGCCTCGTGTCGTCGATCTTAGGTCCGACCGGGATGGTTCCAAATTGAAGACCTCACGCAGTTGAACTTAGTTCCTGGTGAGATGGTTTGAAATCGAAGACCTTACGCCGTCGACCTTAGGTCCGGGTAGGAAGAATTATGGCAGTGCCGTCCCGATTTCTCCCTCGGTAGGGAGGAGACGCCGGGAGGCTGCCGAAATTTCAATAAAATTATTGAACTATTTTTCAACAATTTTGACCAATTAAAGTTAAATAGCAAGAAAAATAAACTGTTATAAGAAGATAAATTATGAAAATCTAAATGCAGTATAAAAAATAACCATTATTTATCTTATCTTTGTACTCCCCAACCCTTATGCTGTTAGCCATCTCTGTTTGCCACGTTTTTGATTGACCACTACAATAGAAAACATTCTACATACATATTTTCCAAAATTCACATTTTAACACTATTGTTAATTCTATACTACAATTAAAATGATGCTTCTCAATCAACTATCTCATATGTAGTAGCTTTATGAAACTTTCGATGGTTCTTCTCACTTCCTTAAGATAATCAGTTTATGAATTCAAGCCATAGTGCCTTTATTTAATTCGCTTTGTAAAATCATTAAGCTTTTGATGAAGAAGTTCGTTATTATTTATATTTTATATATATTTAAAAAAAGTTTCCTTCAACAAAAATTGCATTGTACATATTTTTTTTAATTATGGAATTATTAGCATTCTGATTGTGATTGCAATGTATTGCATTCTTTGATTCATGTTTTTTTTTTGTCTTGTTATAAACTTTCGTGGGAATAAACCTTGTTGCTTCTCTGCATAATTCACATCCAGATTTCATTGAGGTACGCTTCTCATTTATTTACTCCTGCTACTAACATTATATCTTGTTCAAGACATGGCTCACAAAAAATTTAATCTTGTTTTCTTTTTTCTTGTAATGCTAAATCATGTGTAACTTTATTTTTCAATATAAATATTATCAAATTCTTGCAATTGTTTAGATCTTGTTAACTTCTACTATGATTCTATGAATTTAAGTGCATTACAAGGGAAAATATTGACATTTTTTTTATTTGGGTTCTTTGTCAATATCTTTCAAATTATATGATAAATTAAGTAATGATTAATCCGCTCAACAACCTCCATTAAACTAACCTAATATTTAAAATAAGTGTAATAATCTCATTTAACATTTCTCTGTTTATAAAACAAATGCCCTGCACCTAATAACTATCACTATTATCCTTTGTATCTTTGTTTATTTCTACAGTGTCATAATTATCATCATCAATAGCATCAATGAGTCTAATAATTGTAAATTCTTTTTTATAATGAAAAAGAAAGCAAAATAATTAGTCCATTAAACAAAACAATACTTTCAAACATGATATAAAATTTTTTATATTTCATACCTTCAATGATAGGCTAAAATTGGTCTTTGTCAAAAGAATTTTTCGAGCTAT